AGGTGGATAGATGCAGCTGCAAAACGCAAATGGAGGCCTCTTATCTGCAAGTGGGGGCGGGGGGCAGTCAGCTCGTGAGCAGTACTTAGAGTAGGTTCCAGTGTCCCCATAGTCCTTGGGGTGTGACACACAGGAAGCTTCACAGTGCACTGTTATTACCTCTTGCAAGAATGACATAAAATGATAATTAGGGGCACTAGGGAATCATAAAATAGCCCAGCCACAGGAAGTACGCAATCTAAACTGGCAGCTTAAGCCAATCGTAACTCTCCAGTGATACTCCGGAGCTCCCTGAGAAGCAGTTTCCTAGTGGAAACCAGAAAATTTGCCTTTCATCCCCTCAGGTAGTCAAGTGACGTGGAGGTTCATATTTATACGGACTGAATCAGCAATTAAAAACACACTAGGAAATGATAGAAAGTACACAGAAAGTCAGTCAAGAAGACAAAGAAATAGGTCAAAGTCATTTACTGAGGTCAAAAGATCTTGTTTCTGGGCATAACAATTGAGGTCGTTTAAAAGACACTGGAAGATAAGTTTAGAGCGGTTGTTTTATAGATTCACATAGAAAACTGGAATAATCAAAGGCATCATTATTCTACGATTAATACAGTATTACAGCAGCAAAGTAATAAAAAGAGGAAAAGAAATAAAACAAGAAGTCAGGCAGAAAAAAATCCTAAGATATTTTTTATAGGGATATTCATTTTTTAGAAAGACATAAAAGTTGGGGAAACGTTGAGTGGGCAGTGTGATTCAGAGGGGCATCTATCAGAGGAGAGAAAGGAATCTAGGCCACTTAGTCGAGACAAGATGAATCAAAGCAATGTATTTAGAAAAGAGTGCACCGGATGAGGGGATCTCGGGGAGACACTGTCCAGACAGTGAGAAGCCGCTAACGGGCTGTAGAATGTCTTGGATTCGTTGGCCTCTCAGGAGTGAGGAGAGCTACAATACAGAGGGAGTTACATTACAAAGTAAAAAGATCTCAGCAAGGGTTGCACTGAGCAAGGAGCGCTCTTTATGATCCTGACACCCTAAGGAGAAAGGCATAAAGAGGAAACTGAGTGAAGTGAATGGTGATCGGAAGGTGAGCATCATGCGATCTCGTTAGCGCCACCTTGAGGTACAGTCTGGAGCAGTTCCTGCAGGAAAAGGATGGCGTCATGAGAGGAAGAGTTGGAACTTTGTACAGCAGGGCTAGGTAATGACTGGCATGCTAGAGAGCTTCTGCCGACGGGCAGTTTTCCCTCCTGGTCTACATCAGCACCAGTGGACTCAGTGGATGCGTTTCCGAATTGCCTCACCTCTTCTACCAGGGCATCGCGCCTGGAGGAATCTGGGACTGAAACCAGTGGAATTCACTCTCCTCTGCAGGCTGTTAAGGGAGTGGAGCCATGGCTGAGGCTGCCCTGAGGACCAGGAGGGGCAGAACCAGGAGTCAACCAGTTTAAGAACTGACAGCGTAGTTGAGGCAAAAGACCTAAGGAGGCAAGTAAGACTTTAGGATGCTGCAGGAAGTACCACGGACACACCGGTCATGGTCTAGCAAATGGATAAGAAGAAAACTAAAACAGAAGGGACTGGTAGTATATGAGGAGGTTCAGGGAACTGGGAGACTGCATATGCAAATGGGCGATGGCCAGCCCATATATACAAAAATAGATCTCTGACCCACACCTGCGGCAATCTGCCCGGAAACCAACTTCTTCTCTACAATACCCAGCCCAGGAAGCCAGCCTGCTATAAGTCAGACTTGTAGGAAGTCAGACTACCATCTCTAGCAACAATCCAGGAAGCTAAACAACAATTTCTGTAACCAACATGGCTAGGACTTGATTAATATCTGCCAGCTTCCCTAATTTTTGTCCCCACTTTCAATTGAGGACCAACCAGAGAGAGCCAAATATGTACTCTAACCCATCACATATGATGCTCCACTTCTAGTTAGCCCACCTCCAGCCTCCCCATGCCAACAGCCTCCAATCAGGGCTCACATGAAGTCTTCTCTTTTTCACTACAAAGCTTTCCCCCTCCTCTGCCCGCTTTGAGTCTTTGCCAAAACACAAGCGATGGAGGCTGAGTTCCATGCTATAGCAAGCTCTGGATAAACAGCCTCTGTTCTCACCTGGCTGGTCTTCATTTACTTCCACAGAGCCGAAGACTAACTAAAATCAGGATAAAGAGTAGAGTCAGGATGGATGAGGAGGTGGGAGGAATAGGAAGTTAGCTGCGAAGAGAGAAGGAGATTTCTGTTCTTTTTGGAAGGAACAGGGAGAGGATTAACATTTATATATTGTTGTCATGAGTTTCTTGATGCTCTGTTATGGGTTTATGCAAGTTACTGAATCCTCATACGACCTTGTGAGATAGATTTTTTTTTTTAATCTACCATTTTTAAGGGAAATGAAACTAAAATAGCCTTCATAACCCATCAAGGATGAAACAGAGTCCCAGGCCAGGTTTCCTCTTTTCACTACGTCAGGCCTCTCCCCCAACCCCCTCTGACATTCCCATTGCAGTTCTGGCCACAGTGTATTCCACGGCTGTCTCACGAACTGTATTATAACTCTCTGTTCAGTCCTTTGGTGCTCCACAAATAGGTGATGAATGAAATAGTAAATTAATATCTTGCCCAAGTTTACAGAGTGAGTAAGTGGTAAAATGTACATTTGAATCCAGATCTTTTGGATTTCAAAGTCCATGGTCATTCACGGCATTAGGCTAAATTGGAAGTGGAGTAGTTTGCTGGCAGGTGCAAAGGTGAAGTGGACATTAAATTTATTGACTCTAGGTGACTGAAAACAGTAAGGTAAGATATTGGGAAATAAATTTCAGAGTTACTAAGGACAATGGCAAGCGATGGGATTGAGGGTTGGGAGGTCTGTTAGCCAGGCACAAAAGAAGATGGGAAAGAGTCCTGGAAGTGAGAAAGTGATGTTGCCTATAATGATAAGGAGGGAGTGGCGATGTAAGAAAATTTCATCCAATCAAAATGAGAATGATTGAGAGAATATGGTGAGACAATGGATTGTCCCGCTGGACAATGGGACTGGATTGGGGTACAAGGACTTGCAGTTGCCTCCTCTGCCCCGTGCTTTGGAGAGAGGAGAAAAAGCAGAAGCTTCTCAGGATGAGGTTGGGGAAAGCCAGATAACACCAGGGCAGACATACAAGAAGTGCCGATTACATGGCTGAGAATGTAAGAGGATAGAAACACAGGACACAGCGGAAGAGGCTGTAGAAGAGAGAGAGATCAGGAGGGGCTGCAAATTCTGGGAAACACAGCTGCCTAGGGGTGGAACCCAGTAAGCACAGAAGTGATTCCAACTACCCAAAGGAAAGGAGGCAGGAGAAGTTTGGTAATTAGAAGAATATGTTCTAGACGGAGGGAGAAGCAGTGTTGGGTCATCAGGATTTAGTCATCGATTGAGATAAAGAAATAAACAGATACGAATTCCACGTGCATGAGTTAAAAATAAAAATTAGCTTACAGTTTCCCCAAAGTGAAAAGAGGAATAATTCTAAGGCTCCCTCTTTTTTGTTGAAAACTACAAATAGTTGGTAATGTGTGTGAAAAGGTCCAAGGTATCTTGTCTTAAGGAAGTTGTCCGAAGTTTGACCTTTATAGAGTTGCTTTCCAGGTGCTGGGGTTGCCATTTAAAGCACCCAGCAGTCTTCATTATAGGATATGGTGAGCAAGACAGGCAGAGCCGTGGAACTGACTGAGGCACTGGCCCCTGGTCCACAGAATACATCTGTTGTGTAATAGGATTAGTATAAAGTATAGATGCAGAAGGCGTGTTCAGGAGGAAGATGATGACAATCTGCTGTTGTTCTGTGGCTTTCTTTATCATCCCCATACAATTTTTCTTCCAAATTCAGTCTGGGAAGAAAATATATTTAGGAACACCTTTCGAACATGAAAGAATAATCAAAAATATATACTGATTTCTCTCTTGTACCCTTTGTTCCGTGGATAATACTGTTGCCTGGTAACTAGATTAGAATGCACCACAGGTTAGAAAAAAACAAACTTCAGTTGTCTTTTCCAGACATTTCTTTGTGCCAGACATTCAACCCTCAAGGCAAAATATGCAGGATAAAAACTCACCTACGCATTACCAGGTTGTTGTTGATTTTAAGCTGGAAAAGAGGGTACTTAGACTAATGCTTTCCACAGGGAAAAATTACAATTAAAATTCATTATGAGCTTGAATTCAAAATAACTGTTGTGATTTGGTGGTCTCACTCCAGCTTTGCAGCAGCAGGTGTAAAAGAACAGAACTCTTATTCATCCGACCCTCTAGTACTTTCCTACGCCCTCCTCATGACCTCAAAGGAAGCAACAGCTCAGGGAAGAGTAGGGTGAGGAGTTATGGGGATAAAATCACACCGTGATGGCTCTGACAGGCAGGCACGACCCCAGGGAAATGCTATCTAATGTAAGTGAAGAGACATAATACATACACATAATGGTAAAGCTGTTGGAATTTCTAGATCGAGAACAAACTGTGTGATATGTTGGGGCAGACCGGGGAGGCCCATGTCTTCTCACAGACATACCTACTTATTGAATCCCTAATTTCCAGCTGGAATTTTCCCTGAGATGTGTGCTCTTTTAACTTCCATTTGATTTAACAATTAACACAATCTCTGTCCATTTAGGGCACTCATTTTTGCCAGGCTCATCATGGAATAAACCCAAACCTCATACACCGAGGTCTCCAGAAATGCAGACTGTACAAATTTCATTTTGTCCACCACCCTTCTGTCCGGAACATGCCCAAATTGTAAAGTGAATTAAATCATCCTGCGTTTCCATTCCCTTGGTCTAAAAAGTAAGAGCATCAGTGGGCAGAGAGCCCTAACTCAGCCTAACCCCACGGGAAGCTGGGTAATCTCACTGGTTTACGTTATGTTTCTCTTCACTGTCCAGGGCCCTCTGTGGCTTTCTTGCCCACTCCCTAAAAGAGAATTTTTTGTTTGTTACCTCTTACCGACATTTATTTTGACAATTTTTCTCTGAGAGTCCATCCTCATCCTCTCCCATGATGTCCACCGCCGAAAATATCAACGCAACGAGAATGGCAAAGCAGCACACCAGGGCAAAGATCACAATGCACTTCTGCTGGGACTGCGAGAGAGAAAGAAGACAAAGAAAAGTCAGTGAAGCAGCTTTTGCTTAGGAAAATCAAGATTTGACAGCTTTTCAAAATTCCGTGAAAATCCTCCGGGAAACATCACTTTCATCACTGCCGGGAGGGCTGCTCTCTGGGTGAAAACGCCTCAGACCTTCATGCTTATTGCTTGGCACAGCCTTCAAACCCCCACTAAATACGTTAGAATCTATTAACTAATTCAAGTGCTGTATCAACACTTCCACACAGTTTGCTCTTCTTCTTTATAATCAAAAGCAGTCCAGAAAAGACCACTGCAAGATCCATTATTGTGAATTAAAAACAAAACACAAGGCGGCTCAATACTTCTTGTTTGTTCTCTGTTATGACCACCACCTTCCAAACTCTATGCAAATTGACTCTACATCCTCTTGCTTTTCCCATCTCTTCTTGCTCTAAGACCTTTACGGTGATGGCTTCAGGAAAGATGCCCCTGGGTGGTCAGTATGAGTTCTGCACTTTGATCAGAAAAGTGGATCTATCAGCTGCTTGCATCATGGCCATTAACTGACAAAGTCCATTTCAAAACACTGAACACAGTCATAACCAACATTCATACTCTTGATATGATTTTTCATTTAGAAACGCAAGCTGAAGATCCAAGTGGTCAAAGACACCCCTGTCCTTATCTTTAGGCCCAAGTATCGTAATTCAAGACATCTCTATCTCCAGAGGTTCGTAGCAAAGGGGATAGAAGATAGGGCCATGGTAACTGGGCAGAAGCCATGGCCACTGAAGCAAATAATTTTGCCTGCATTCCATTTATTAGATAAATATCGATGAGGAGAAGAAGAGAAAGAATAATCTTTTAAAGTTTTTGTGCAGTTTTTAGAGACTATTTACAGAAGAGGAAAGGGTGATCTTTGATGAGGCGGCCAGCAGTACTCCCTTAGTGATGGGATACACAGACATACACTCACACAATCACACACGCACACACTCACACACACACTTCAAAGCATTGTTGAAACCAGCCAGCTTTGCCTCTCCTACCACCCTCCTCCCTTTCATCCCTACAGCCACACGGTTTCCGAAGACCCAAGGGACCTCCCAGAGCTCAGGGTCCAGTCAGTCCAGGGGGGGCCTCAGATTACATATTACAAAAAAAGATGTTGTCAAGTCAAGGAATAAATGGTGTTTCTGTGACCAGGCACCATCAGCTCAAATGGTTGTTTCCTTTCAGCATTTTCTTAACCTCCTTCAGGTGTCATCTCCCAGTAGAACCTTGTTCCAAGTCCATTCTTGTCTGTCACCATGTTCTCCTACTCCACATTCAGCGAGGAAGTGGAGGAAAGCCCAAGGAAGATACAATCATTGCCCTGATATCCTTAAGATATGGATTACGCTACACCAAACTACAAAAGGCTTCTGCACAGCAAAGGAAACCATCAACAAAACAAAAAGACAGCCCACCAACTGGAAGAAAATATTTGCAAATCATATGTCTGATAAGGGGTTAATTCCGAAAATATATAAATAACACATACAACTCAACAATTAAAAAACAAACAACCTGATCAAAAAATGTGCAGAGCATCTGAACAGACATTTTTCCAAAGAAGATATACAGATGGCCAACAAGCACATGAAAAGATGTTCAACATCACTAATCATCAGGGAAATGCAAATCAAAACTACAATGAGGTATCGCCTCATGCCTGTCAGAATGGCTATTAAGACAAGAAGTAATGAGTGTTGGAGAGGATGTGGAGAAAAGGGAACCTGATACACTGTGGGTGGGAATGTAAACTGGTGCAGCCACTACGGAAAGCGGTATGGCGATTTCTCAAAAAATTAAAAATAGGTCTACCATATGACCCAGCTATTCTACTTCTGCGTATTTACCCAAAGAACACAAAAACACTAATTTGAAAAGATATATGCACCCCTATGCTCATTGCAGCATTATTCACAATAGCCAAGACTTGAAAGTAACCCACGTGCCCATCAATGGATGAATGGATAAAGATGTGGTATATATATACAATGGAATACTACTCTGCCATAAAAAGGATGAAATATTGCCATTTGCAACAACATGGATGGACCTTGAAGTTATTATGCTAAGTGAAATAGGTCAGATGGAGAAAGACACCATATGATTTCAATCATATGTGGAAGATAAACACACAGATACAGAAAACAGACTGCTGGTTACCAGAGGGGAGGGGAAGGGGGTGAAAGGGGTAAATGGGCACATGTGTACAGTGATGGATGGCAACTAGACTTTTGGTGGTGAACACAATGTAGCCTGTATAGAAACTGAAATATAATAATGCATATCTGAAATTTATATAATGTTATAGACCAGTGTGACCTCAATGAAAAAAAAGACATGGATTACGTTTTATTCTTTCTATCCCCAAGCAACCAACACAGTTCCTAACAAACAGAAGGTGCTCAAAAAATAGCTATCGTAGGGCCAGCCCCGATTGCCTGGTGGTTAAGGTTTGGCGTGCTCTGCTTCAGTGGCCCAGTGGTTTGGTTCCCAGGGCAGAACCATACCACTCGTCTGTTAGCGGCCATGCTGTGGTGGTGGCTCACATAAAGAAAAAAAAAAAGTAAGACCGGCAACAGATGTTAGCTCAGGGTGAGTCTTCCTCAGCAAAAAGAAAAGAAAGAAATAGCTATTGTATAAACAAATACAAAGTGAATGAATGAAATGAAAATCGCAAGCATACTTCTAAGGATGCAGAGTGACATGAGGTGTTTTTCTCAAGACTCAGTTGCGGTCTCAAAAATTAATTTGCTTCCATATTTTGGTGATTGTAAATGTTGTAGCTCATCTTCCTTCACTCTCTGCTGGAGCTCGAGGCAAATTCATGGGTGACATTTCCCAACTATATAAAACTCTACCGAACAGATTGGGCATTCATCTTGGCCCCTCATTTTCCATTCCTCCCTGATTCCTCACTAATTTTATCCCTACGAAGCAGCAGAGTGAACTGGCTGAGGGCTCAGACTTCCGAGCCAAACTGGATTCTTCCATTTACTGACTGGATGCCCTTGGGCAAGTTACTTAGGCTTTGTGCTCTAGCTTCCCTGTCTGTAAAATGATGCTAAATAATAATAATAGTAATAACTGCCTTATAGAGTTGTTATTAAGAAGTAAATTAAATGAAATATTATATACAAAGTACTCCCTGAAAACAGTATCTGAAAAATAGCACTAAATGAGTGTTTGCTGTTGTTAGTATAGTCTCATAGTGTATGTCCCTCTATAAGCTGCTTCAAATATTTTGGGGAAACAAGGTAAAGACAAATAAACAAAAAACACACAACAAAAACTATAAGTATGTGTAAGGGAGAAGCAGACAGAGAGACAGAGACAGAGAAGGAAAGAAAGAAGTGAGACAGAGGGAGAAGAGAAATGTGAGATGGAAATTTTCTAGGATAAAATTTTTGAGAAACTGTTCTAGCCCAGTCTCAGAACTCAAAACTCTGAAGCAGCATTTCTCAGACTTGAGCAAGCATCAAAATCACCCGGAGGGCTTGTTAAACACACATCGCTGGACCCCATTTCCAGAGTTTTTGGCTCAGTAGGTCCGGGAGGGTGGTGCTCAAGAATGCGCATTTCTAACAGGCTCCCAGGAAATGTCCATGCTGCTGATGCAGGGGCCACTCTTCGATGTGTCAAATATCATCCATCCTAAACCCCACTGAACACACGCTCCTCCTTCAAATGCGTCTGCCCTTCATTCATGTTCAGACAATAAAGAGATCATCATAAATACATCCTATCAATTTACATGTAAATCTTGTAATTTATTTTCTTTGTAGGGGCTTAAAAATAATTTAAAAAAAATTTTTTCTGAGTTTTTTCCTGCTTTCTACTTCCTATTTATTTTAATGATATGCATTACTTGTATAATCAGATGATGTTTACTGTTAAGTATTCTGAAAAACCACGTAATATAAAAAAGAAAAGAAATCACTCATAGTCCCACTCAGACATAACTGCCATGAACGTTTTGTTCTAGTCCTTTCCTGTACTATATCTACAGATCTAACCATCTCATAATATGGCTATCATGCTATATATAGTTTTACATGCTGCTTTTTGCACTTTTTCATGTTTTAATGTCATTAAATATTCTTTTGAGGCATAGTTTTAAATTATTGCAGAATATTCCATTGTATGGATATATCATTGTCTCCTTTACTCCAAAAAACTTTTTTTAAAGCCATTCATTTTACAATAGAAAAAATTGATTACAATTTTTTTCATTTTATCCATCTTCCCTATAAATTATAAACAGAAACAAACTTTCAGAGAAGTTTAAGGTAATACAATTACATTCACATTAATCCAGTCCAGAAGAGACTCCAACCCAAGACAATATAATTAAACATTATCTCAAAAAGAATCCTTGAGACAGCAGCACAAATACACCATGTCAGGTACATAGTGTGTACCTGATGAATGAATCTAATGTTTCATCTACGACAACATTAATTTGTTTCCCTTTACTCTGAATTTTATGATAAAATAGTAAATGAGAACTCTAGTTAACGTGTGTGCTATTGAAAGTACTTTGATGTAATAACCCGCACAAATTTCTATTAACTTCTATTAATTTAATTCTACATTATCAAATTCTATTACAGTGAACAATTCAGCTAGTTATTTTCTTTTTAATTTGTCAAAGAAGAGAAATTCAGACTCTCACATTCATTCTTAAATGTCTCTGAAAACAATGTACTATAACAATATAAGTTCATATCACTACTTTTCTCAGTCTCATTTATTTTCCACTTCATCAAAAGTGAAAGATCCTGTTCAAATGATAGCATAAGAACCTCACAAATGAGAACAAACTCCAAGTTTCCAAGAGGTTTATTCATTTTCAAATTCTTAACAGATCATTTCAGATCATTCAGGAAGCAATTTGAAACACACTTTCCTGGTTTTATTGAATTGAAAAAGCAAAGTTTTAAGGAGAATGCATGAACATGA